TTAAAAACACGAATTTAAAAGCAGATTTTTTTCAAAAAGTATCATTTTTTATTATTTGTTGGCCTTTTTTGTGTATTTTATGTATTTTTTTAGTATCGCCTGTTATTTAGCATTATTACTGTTTATTTATTTTATCAGGATATACCACTTAGTTTAAAAGTTATGACGTTTTCTTTACAATAAGTAATTGGAAGAAAAAAGTATATAAAAAAATTAAAAAAAATCTCAAAAAAAATTTGACCTCTTTTTTGTCGATAAAAATAGGTCTAGTTTCATCTGTTTTCATATGTACACTTTAACGTGACTCACACTGTATATTGTTTTAAAAACAAATAGCATTCAAGTAGTAAAACAATATCACAATTCATATTTATAAAGTAATATTTATATTGTTCAATTGGAACTTTTCCAACCAATAATATAATTATTAATAATACATTAGATTAATAAAGCTTTAGATGTCACTAAGTAGGTACTAGTTATTACTTATAATTCTTTGGTAATCCCAGAGTTATGTAGATTGAACAGTACCATTAAAGTCCCTACAACTACTAAGCTAGTGTTCCTTGAACAAGTTAGAATTCACCTAAGTATCATTCTACTTGTACTCAGAATCACTACAATGTCACTAAGACCCGTATCCCAAAATAAAGCTTAGTAAGCAACAGTTACCTTGAAAGCTCCGCTGAAGCGCGGAATGAAACTATTTGTGTTTTAGTGTGTGTGTGTGTGTGAACGTAAAGCTCAATATAAAGATCAAAACAGGGTTGCGTACAATTTATGTCTATGCAAATAAATTATCTCATTAACACATTACTTAGTGTATTTTTATTTTTTTTCAGAATTATGTAATTAGAAATAGCTATGAAAGCAGCTTTAGGCTCTACCTATATTTATGCATGAATGTCCGTTAGTAAATATAAACTTTCAAAACCAAATTAAATCTCTAAATCTATCTATTATATAAAAGAAAGTCGTGTTAGTTACTCCACTTATAACTCAAGAACGGCTGAACCGATTTAGCTGAAAATTGACAGGGAGGTAGTTTAGAGCCAGGAGAAGGACATAGGATACTTTTTATCCCGTTGGAAATAAAAAAAAGTCTGCTTATTTATTGCCATTAAGTTCGCCGGGTCAGCTAGTTATTTATAAATAATAAAAAATGCTTATCACTCATGGTTTATCGGCCGTTTGGTGTAGTGGTTCGAAACGGACAACTATTCCGGAGGTAGCGGGTTCGATTCCCGCACAGTACAAACATTTGTGTGCATGAACATATTTGTTTGTATTGGACTGGGTGTTTTCTATGTATAATAAGTATGTATTTACAAAAAAAAAAGTATTTAAGTATGTTTATATCCGTTGTCTAGTACCCATAGTACAAGCTTTGCTTAGTTTGGGACTAGAAGCGCAGTGTAAAATGTCCAAGGATATTTATTTATTATTTATTTATTTATTATCATTATCGTATAAGTAACATTAATCTTTTAGATTCAGTCCCGACACCCGGAAACGATTTTGTATTTTATTATTATTGAAATGAAATGAAATTAATGTCTGTGCTTATTCAATGATTGGCAATATAAACGTCAAAACAAAAAAAGCAATTACAAACATCTAGCCCTTAAGGGGTTCTTTACATGGTCTCCTCATATTTTAGGTACTTCGAAAAAAACATACGCCCGTATTCACAAACATTATTATGAGGTATCACAGTGCGCGTGGACGCACAGGGTCACATACGAACCAATCACAGAGCTTCTTGCTTCACTTAAGCAAGCATCGTTTGTGAATGCGGGCGATAGTTTTTTTTATTTACAGTAAAACCATGTTCAAAATACTCACAGAATAAATGAAGACAACTGGGAATTGCAGGAAGAACCACCACCAGCCGTATTCATCGAACTGGTAGTACACAGTCGAGGGGTTCCCGTTGTAGATGTACGTAGCCAGGAAGGCTGAGAAGGAGCCCACGATGAGCAGAGAGAAGGTCCCCACCATGATCTCGTGGCGCTCCAGCTCGGGAGACAGCCATTTTGTTGGCTGGATCTTCCACTCGTGCGCGCGGTCGCGTTGCTTCATGTAGAAGTACCACTGGGAAGAGAATTATCTTGATTTAGAATTTCTTACCGATTAGAGTCGCTTCTCAAACTAAATAACTAAAGCTCTTGGGTTCGATTCCTGCCCTAAGCAGTTCGATTTTTTCAAGTTGTTTATTTATAATCTTGATGTTTAGGTTCATCATCATTATTGTCAGTTGAAATCACCTGGAGACCAAATGGTCTCCACTGCAGGAACACGATCCTTTCCAATTCACGAGGGGGAAATGGACGACTTGTCAGCAGTATAGCTCACATTAATCGAACTGGAACAGTGAAGCTAAATAGTGTGACATCTTACCTATGTAATTAGGCTATTATAATAAAATTACCTATTAAATCGCATAAACACGAAACATTTTATATCAAAATGGAAAAAAACATTACGATGGTTCGACTTACACGAATTCAGTTCATCTAAGTAGATTTAGATTTTTTTAAAAGCCTAATTTTTACTTAACCTACGAGTAAACTCCTAATATTTTACATTTCCACTTGGTTTAAAGTTTGTTAATTTCAAATTATTTAAAATTATGTAACACGTGTATGTAATTATATTACGTAGTACATACCTACAATGTTATGGTTGCAGTTCAGTTCAGTACGGTTGCCCTTAGGCTTAATCTGTACACCGTCTGGAAGAGGCCTGATATCAGATTTATTGATGTTTTTGTAATTACATATTTTCACATTTGCAAGATAAGGCAACCAAGACGAACGTGTACATGTTTCAGTGCAACGAGTGCACATCAAGTTCGACCTTATTTAACAGTAATTTTTATCATAATAATAACTTTATCGGCCCGAATCCGTTTTCTTTTGTTTCTTTCATAATGAGACCATAAAAATATTTTTATCGATTGATTTGTCATTTGTTTTTAAAATTGTCTAGCAAAGGTATGTACGAAATGTACTCACTATCTTCAGTTTCTTTATGTAGAGAATTCATAAAACTAGTGTTAGTTCCATTTAACTCAAATCGTTATTTACAAAAATAATACCAGGAATTCGCTACTAGATTTCGATGATCGATTTAGATTTTGATGATCATCAACTTCCCTTCTTCTTCCTTGGTCCCTTACTGATTAGGATCGCGACTACATAATAGCGTTCCTCCACAGACTGCGGTCATAAGCTGTGTGGACCCGCACGATGCAAGCTTCCGCCCACCGTCTTCCTAGACGCATCTGACCATCTCGTCGGTGCCCTGCCCCGAGCACGTCTGTCTTCCATTTGTCCCAAGATAGTTTGTTTCTCCAGGAGATGACATGTCTTTTTTCTCCAAAAGATGACATGTAATCCTGGTTACATAAATATAAATTCAGCTTACTTACATGTAAGAATCCGCCTATCAAGAAATACACGGAGAGTGACACAGCGTGTGCTGCAATGAATATGACGCCGAAGTTCTCCATCTTCAGCTTCTCAGACGTGAACAGCTGGAAGATTTCCTCTGACGTCACATTTCTGTCGCTCTGCGTGTGTCCCGCAAACTGCTTCAGCGCTGTCACGAGGATGACCACCCATTCTCCTGGAATAAACATGTTGCTGTTAATACAACAGACAATTTGGCAAGTTTAAGGCGGATTTATACATGCGAGTCTGATGTGTTGTATCGTGACGCATCAGAATGGGAAAGGTTTCATACATTTTGTATGTGACACGTTAGAAGCCATCACGACACGACACAATAATTTAGTTTGAATGTTACAATACTTAGGGCAGATTTTTCAGTCGTTAAATATCTTTTAACTGAAGAATAAACGTCATTTTGACATATTTCCCATACTGAAACTGCCAACGTGAAAAGGTTATCCTTCAGTTAAAATTTATATGGCAATTGAAAATCAGCCCATAATATTATATGAAACTGATTCTATTCTGATGAGTCACGACACAGCACGTCACACAAATAGTGGGGAAATAAGTGTATGCCAAATACACTATCCATTTTTACGCCGATCTACATTAGGAAAAGAAATGAACAGGTGTTTTTATCGAGTAACTTAAAAAAATATATCTACAAGGAACTGTACGAGGATACTGGCTACATGGTGGAAATTTAATAGCTTTATCGATGGACGTTGGTTATGGTAATCCATTAGATTTAATAGCATTCCTTTCTCACATTAAAGCAGCAAGCAATCTTTTTTAACAGCCGGCTGCCAAATCCCATCGATCGTTCAACATTATTCTAATCACCTTGACAACGACATTGCTATCACGAATTAGTCGTATCTTAAATTCGCAAAATTATTAATTGGAATTATCGTGACGATTTAGAATTGGATATCTTATCAGAACTCTGATTGGTAATGAGTATTGACATTGTAATTTTTTATTTATAAACATTTGGCGTACTTATGACCGTTTGTTGATCTGGTTTTCTTTAAACCGACTTTAACAGTGCCGTAAAAAATCGCAAGCAGTAATCTTGATACACCTCACTTACAGCAGCAAGTAAGGCTGATTTACACGTATTGTTAGGTAGGTAACTAATTTTAACTTAATTTTAAGTGATACAATTGCATGTAAACACAGAATTTAAAAGCAAGTTAAAATTTAATCACTCAAATTTAAGTTAAAAAGTTTACCTACTTGACAACTTAATACGTGTTAATCAGCTTCAAACTGCATGTAACACAAGTTTTCAACGAGTTGCAAGTTTCACCGTCTTACTTTAACTTTGACAATCGTCAAAAATCTGTCAAATTCCATACAAAAAGCACTGGTTATTGTTATTGTTACGGTTAAAATAAGGTGGTGCAACTCAGTGATTACATGCAATTAATCACTTAAAAGAAAGTTAAAATACGTCTAAATCAGCCTTAAAAGTTGAACTTATCTTTTGAACTCTTTAAATCGGACTTTACCTTTCTTCTGATTCTTATTTTAAGTTTCTTTCTTGATGATCATAATCAAAATATTTAATATTTTAAGACAGAATTGGCTACTTATCTTGACGTCAGTAGCATTAACGTAGGATTATAAGATACCCACTAAGTTTTTGCGTTTTAAGTCATGATAGTTACCAGCAGTGATAAAAAGTGTTATTCTTGAGACAGGTTATGAAGTCACCAAACTGTGCATAATCACAGTGACACCTATGCGGCAGCGGCACGTTAAGTGGCCCGTATTCACAAACATTACTATGAAGTTTCACAGTGCGCGTGAACTCACAGGGTCACACACGAACCAATCACAGAGCTCTATTCAGCACTGTGTGTTCGATTTGCTGCCTCACTTGAGCAAGCATCGTTTGATCGATTCCACAACATAAATTATCTGCAATCTCTACACTCTCTAAATAGCAGTTGCAGTTTAGGTACAACAAACATCAGATAATCTTACAGTAAGTAACTTTGTTATAATCGTAAAAAAAACATCAATTAAAACTTTATTTAATCCTGTTAATCCTTCATAAATCATAATATAAATCGATTCATTTTAGTCACTCATAATCTAATTCACAGTACCTACTGCTTTAACTCAGAAACTGTTATTCAAAATAATTAAAATATCCTGGAATAGGACAGAAATAGGGACGCTTTTAAACTATAACTTAACTTTAACAGCCCCTGATTCAAAGTTATAGTAACGACCTAAGTTAATTCAGTGCTTAACTGAAATGTTAATGTTAAGACTGTGGACGTAATTTTCAATAAAATGCAAACTAGTAAAGCCGATTTACATTTTCAATATTAACTTCACTATCGCCATAAAGTTTGCTATTTTAACTGCTTCGAACTCCGACGGATCATTAAAATACTTTCGCGTTTAGTTTTTACAATATTTATAATAGCTTTAGTTAATAACTTTCATTCGATAATAAAGTAGCTTTCATAAAATATTTGTAAGATTTTTTAAAATTCAAAACAGTTAATTTTATGATCAATGTTAAAAATGTAGCTTGAATCAATCTACCTATTAAAAAAACCGCATCAAAATCCGTTGCGTAGTTTTAAAGATCGTAAAAGAAGAAGTATACATACACAGACAGGAAAGCGACTTTGTTTTATAATATGTAGAGATTAATAGATTATTTTAATTTTTATCGAATGGTTAAGAACCACTTAGCTAGTAGGTGATCTTAATCTTTCCAATCAATGTTTACATATCAGTGCATGTAGAGACACGTGCAGCGGTATTAGCAGTCAAATTAGACTTATAAGGTTACACAATACAGCTAATTTTTCAAGTACCAATTTTCAGAACGACTGAGTACGAAAGATACTATACAAAAATCTATGAAATTTTCTGTAACTCTTCCTGCATGTTTTGTGCTAACTAACCGAGCTATAATAACGCGTAGATGTTTTTTGCACGTCGGTGTTGGTACTATACTAATTGAATATTTCATCTGTGTCGCTTGCGATTTGTGGGAGGGTAGGCGGTGCTTCTTGCATTTGCTTGTACTATACCTAACATAGTCGGTGGGCGCGGTAAATGTGGTTGGGTACTTGTGTCGGCGTTACTGAACGAAAATTTTAAGCTTAGTAATTTTATCTTTTTAATATCTTATTATGAATTTACGCAATGTAACGCCTAGATTATCATTAAATATATTTAACTCAAAGGTGACTGACTGACATGGTGATCTATCAACGCACAGCCCAAACCACTGGACGGATCCGGCTTAAATTTGGCATGCAGGTAGATGTTATGACGTAGGCATCCGCTAAGAAAAGATTTTACGAAACTCCTAACCACGAACTCTTAACGGGGTAAAACGGGATCCACGATGACAGATTAGGGACACGAAGACGATAAGGGATTATACGAGTATTTAAATATTGTAACGAATCTGATCTTACCTCTTAACGTTGCTCCGAATGTGAAGATGGCAAACGTAGCAATAAACGTGCTGATGAACTCTGGTATCCTTTCGAAAAACTTCTCCAAAGGTTCTGCGTAATTCTCTATCCATCTTACTCCGTCTGTGAGGGGGTCCCAATACTTCGGTCTTTGTTCGGTTTCAGTCTGTTCTAAGTTTGATTTCGCTTCTTTAGGAGCATTCAATTTTGTTCTATGCCGGGCTTCAGTCGCCATTCTAAAATAAGTAAACGTACGTTTCAGAGCGTTTTCATAATAGGTATCTAATTAATAATTAACTTTTTTAAAAAATAAAACCGACTTCAAATGCGTGAACACAAAAAAAAACTAAAAATTAAAAATATTGCGTATAAAAAAGTTCATCCCCAATTTTCCACCCTTGGGGGTGAAATATTTACTTCTAATTCGCATGAAACCACCCTTTTGATAATACCTATTCAACAAAAAAAGAATCGTTCAAATTGATTTATAATCGGCGGAGATATTGCGTATAAAAAAGTTCATCCCCAATTTTCCACGCTTGGGGGTTGTTTTTTCTATTATTAAATTTAAATGGGACCACCCTTGAGGTATTACCTATACGCCGAAAAAAGATTTGTTCAAATCGGTTCATAATTGGCGGAGTTATCGCGTAACAAACATAGAAAAAAAAAAACATACGGGTCGAATTGAGAACCTCCTCCTTTTTTGAAGTCGGTTGAAAATTAAAGAAAATTAATTTTGTCACATTTATCTGATGGGAAAATTGGTAAAATTATTTCAGAATGAAGTAAGTAGAAGTTCAAGGATATACTAAATTTAACGTAAAAATACTTACTTTGTGTCTTAAAACTAGAAGCTGCTAATCCTAATTGATCAAGAACTTTAACAGCACATGTGTATACCAGCTGAACTAAACACCACAACTACACACACACGACTCATGTACACTAATAATGAAACCTGAGTAAAATTAATTTTGAGTATAAATTACCTTAAATACAAGATAAAAGGTATTATGAATATCGCAAAATACCTTGATTACGTTTTTATCATTTGCTCATGCCAAGAAACAAAGGAATTAAAAAATTATACTCACTCATCATACAATAACATATAAGCCAATGCCCAAACTGGATGTAAGCATGCCCTAGTACTCCTCCGTTAATTAAATACATTGGGCCTTTTCAGGGCACTTGTACACGTCCCAAATTAATATAGCTAGCCCTACCACCATTTCGGGACAACATAATATGGGCTGGTGCTCAGAAGAAATGGCGGAAGAAATTTCGTCACGTTTGTCAGTCTAAAAGCACAATCTCCCATTTTTTCCTTTCAGGCCAGTTATCTTCATGTGGCGATCCTGGATGGGGACGTCATGATAGAACACATTCAAAAACTATCTGATGTTTATATCATCACTCTGACTCATATTCTGAGTGATTGCTGGGATAGGTTCCATCTCAGGTGGGTTGAGTCATACTTTACCAATTAATACACGCGATTTTTTATGTGTAGTTGATGATGATGCGTTTTTACTGATAGTCATTTCACTGAGCTTAGGCTGAGTTGCACCATCTTACTTTAACTGTGACAAACGTCAAAAATTTGTCAAACTCCATACAAAAATCACCGGTTATCGTCATAGTGACCGTCAAAATTAGATGGTGCAACCCACCCTTAGTGATAAAAATTCAATCAAAAATTATATAAAATAATAATTTATTATTAAACTATTAATTGTACTGCGACTGGCTTTATTTTACTTGATAATTAATATTGGGCGTTGAACAAACTTCATCCATCATTTACATTTGGTTGGGTGTTCAATGAATCAATATAGATTTTATCTAAAGCCGTCCTAAAATTCGAAGTTACTCAAATAACTGAGTAATAAAAATAAATGAGAATACTTCGACGAACTCTCGTAGCTAACACATGTCATGTAATTTAAGCGATCCTATCGCCGAAATTGGAAGGTAGGTCCTTTTACTCAATTTGACGATTTGTTAGTTAGGGTTACTAGTTAATACCTCAAAATTGCCTAAAAAAGTATAAAATAAGATTTTTTTCATAAAACCTTTTTTTTATGCTTAACAAGGCAGGTATTTGACCACAATCGCACCTGATGTTAAGTGGGATGCAGTCTAGGGTATACTCTCTCATAAAACTCATTTATTTATGCAAGTAGGCTTTTAAAAAGCATATTCACACGTCCCAGTATTAACCCTACCACAACTTCAGGACAATAAATGGGCCAGTGCTGAGAAGAAGCAGCGCAGGAAACTCAGTCACTATTCAAGTTATTTAAAAAATTAAATATGCTTAACTTTTAATTTCATAATTTATCATTACTACCTAAACGCGCACTTTCGTATTAAATTCTGGATCTATGACGATAGCCCGGAATCATTTCAAAATTAAATAATGTTAAAATCGGTTCAGGTTAATATAACCACATTATTTTCATAAAATCTTACAACTTATCTTGAACACCTGATGAACGTCACGTAATCATTACGTCAATACAATGTTTATAGTAATACAGTGTGAGTCACGTTAAAGTGTAGATATGAAAATAGATGAAACTAGACCTATTTTTATCGACAAAAAAGAGGTCAAAAATTTTTTGAGATTTTTTTTTAATTTTTTATAGAATTTTTTCTCTTCCAATTACTTATTGTAAAGAAAACGTAATAACTTTTAAACTAAGCAGTATATCCTGATAAAATAAAAACAGTAATAATGCTAAATAACAGGCGATACTAAAAAAATACATACAATACACAAAAAATGCCATCAAGTAATAAAAAATGATACTTTTTGAAAAAAATCTGCTTAAAAATTCGTGTTTTTTGGTTATTTGATAAATTTCTCCAAAAAATGCCCGTATAACAGGTAGTTTTTATTGTTGTGTATTATTCTCTATCGTATTACCTTTGTAAAACCAAAAATTGCATGTCTCTATCCCTATCACAACATTTGCTATGATAGTTTGAACAAAGGCCTACTACAACATTATTCTCCTCTACAGGTAGGGACAATTTTAAATTTAACTAAAATGCTTATTTTACTTCGAAATTTTTTCTTTTTACTTGAAATCTAACTTGTCTTTATCAAAATTACAAATCTAGAGCCATTTTCACTTTCGTTGTTAACGAAGCGTTGAATGGCGCGCCCGGAGAGGCTTAGTTCAAACGATCATAGCAAATGTTGTGATAGGGATAGAGACATGCAATTTTTGGTTTTACAAAGGTAATACAATAGAGAATAATACAAAACAATAAAAACCACCTATTATAGGGGCATTTTTCGGAGAAATTTATCAAATAACCAAAAAAACACGAATTTTTAAGCAGATTTTTTTCAAAAAGTATCATTTTTTATTATTTGTTGGCATTTTTGTGAATTGTATGTATTTTTTTAGTATTGCCCTGTTATTTAGCATTATTGCTGTTTTTATTTTATCAGGATATACCGCTTAGTTTAAAAGTTATTACGTTTTCTTTACAATAAGTAATTGGAAGAAAAAAAATTCTATAAAAAATTAAAAAAAAATCTCAAAAATTTTTTGACCTCTTTTTTGTCGATAAAAATAGGTCTAGTTTCATCTATTTTCATATGTACACTTTAACGTGACTCACACTGTATTTTAGGAAATATTCGCAAGTAAGTAGGTAGGTATTAACGCTTATTCATTATCAGGAGATAAATAAAATAAGTATTTTGCATATTATTATCGTTTTACAAGATAACAAATTAATTAGGCAAAGAGATTTAGTGGTTAGGACTTTAACCTAATTTTTCTAATCTAAATAGATATTTTTCTAATGGATAACCCCACATTACACACTCACACCCGTATTCACAAACGATACTTGCTTAAGTGAAGCAGAAAATCGAACGCACAGCGTTGAATAGAGCTCTGTGATTGGTTCGTGTGTGACCCTGTGCATCCACGCGCACTGTGAGACCTCATAGTAATGTTTGTGAAAACGGGCGTTATTACTCATTGTTAGTGGCTTAGTGCCCACTGGACTACTATGCATTTAAGTAAATTAAGTAATATTTTTACGATAGTAGTTTACTTTGTATTATTATCGTGGTTCATAATGTTAGTAAATAGATCTGGAAAATAACAAAAAAAAAACAAAAGGATCGCTCCTGCAAATAAAATTCGCATAATCTCATTTAGAGTCATCTTGTTCAGACATCTAAAATTATAAATGTCAGTGAAAAGCACTGTGTTCCCTGGCTAATGTAGTGTTCACGTTTTGTGATAGGTGGCGCTATGCTACTTGCAGCACTTTCAGCCAGAGCGCAGCGCCACCTGTGTAAATTTAGCGATACTAAAGACCAAGGCCCCTTGAATAGAACATCGAATGTGGAATGGAACTTTTTAACTAGAGGGCGTTATTAAGTAGAAAGCTTGTTTCAGGAATCGGCAGTATAATTTAATTTTATTGGATACTATTATGTATTTTTATTATCTGAGAAAATCTGTTTCTTTTTCAGTATCGTTCATAAGTTTTGGTACCTTTTCAGACATGAAAACGTGTTACAACCCGATTTCTCAAGTTAAAAATGATTTTTACGAAAGCGATACTTTAAAAAAATATTAGTTTTGAAACATAATTATGTCGTGTTAATAAGTTTTAAGGCTCAGTTTTTGATCGGTAAATAGTTTAAAAAAAACCGAGTGGTTGTTGCTTGCAAGACAATTATTGTTTTTTATGAGAAGTGACTACTATAAGTATCAGTAACAAAAACCTTTTCGGACGATAGTAAGTAATAACCATGGTTTATACTTCTATGGGGATTATCCTCTTAACAAATCGACAACACAATCGTTAACCCATTCCGTGTCAATCCCAACAACTCATTCTAATTACCCAAACACCATTCCACCCGTTGAAATCACCGCGTTATTTATGCGCACCACTAAATAACGCCACCGATACCGTTATTAGGTAACGTTAATACGTTGCCCTAAATTATTATCGTCTATAACTCACTTGCACAGCGGATGTGCAGCCATAACTTCGCTGGACCGCCTACCGGGTGGGTGATTAATAAGACCGCCACCTATAGTGAGCTAGGTATAACGCGATTATTGAAACGTTAGGGTTGTTCTTGCTTGGTTACGAGTGGTTTGGTCAAATCTGCTAATGAGAGAGATTTATGGTGGTTATGAAAGTTGTTTTCTGTAAATACATTTTTTTGACAAAAATAATACTTAGATATACTTACTCTGATAGCTCAGCGACCTAGTGTGACTTATGCCCGTTTTCACCATTAATCCCTAATAATATTTAAGTGACACCTATGGTAACACAATAGGAATTTTGTTTCATAGGGGTCAATTAAAAAATAGGGATTGATGGTTAAAAAGGGGCACTAGCTTCAGATATTCCCATTTCTGCTTCAAGCTCACTAAGATCCGCGTCCACCATATCAACTCAGTGGTGGTGGGCAGACTCACCGGCCTCTACATAATTGTGGTTCGTTTTCAGCCAAATGACGTCCACTGCTGGACAAAGGCCTCCCCCAAGGTTTTCCACAATGAACGGTCCTGCGCTGCCCGCATCCAGGCTCTTCCCGCGACCTTCACCAGATCGTCGGTCCACCTAGTAGGAGGCCTGCCCACGCTACGTCTTCCAGCCCGTGGTCGCCATTCGAGAACTTTCCTGCCCCAACGGCCATCGTCTCTACGAGCTATGTGCCCCGCCCACTGCCACTTGATTTTAGCAATTCTGCGAGCTATGTCGGTTACTTTGGTTCTCCTGCGGATCTCCTCATTTCTGATTCGATCACGCAGGGAAACTCCGAGCATAGCCCGCTCCATCGCCCTTTGGGTGACCTTGAGCCTTCTTATGAGGCCCATAGTAAGCGACCACGTCTCAGCTCCGTATACCATCACTGGCAACACACATTGGTCGAATACTTTCGACTTGAGACACTGCGGTATTTC